TGAGCTTGGGAGATGATTTCAGAGAAAACCAGTGGCACCATCGTGTTCCTCGTGAACTTTTATACAAGAATCAACAGTCAAATTGCAAATGCCTCGCACAAGTAACATCTCCATTGGGCCAAAATGCACCGATATCAATACTTCATATGTTACTTGGTTCCTCGAAAATTCTCCTCTTGGACTTAGCTTAAAAGTGTGGACACTTTTTAGCCTCCGGCGAAACCTAGAGTCTATACGGCTTCGCCGCACGACTAAAAACCTGGGATTTCTTGGCCGAGATTGACCTCTCAGTCTCCAACCTATTCAGATATAATTTTTAAAATTATCTTATTTGAACGGTGATTCATTTTCCCATTTTTGAAAATGATGGTTGAAACTTAACTGAGGTAACAGGAAAACTGAGGTAATGTAAAATGAAAGGGTTCTAGGTTACTGAATCCTCGCTGCTGCTATTTTTCACAAAATAACCTTGCAACATTGTACAGCAAGAGCAAGACTTACTCAGGAGCATGCTGTTTCTTGGAAGAAGATATTCTGTTCATAGTAAAAGTGCTCATAAGGCTAATAAAGCCCATCAAAGAAACGAGTTTTATGTGTTTGTTTGTTTGTGCCAGCTTGGTAATGTTAATGCATGAAAAACTATATACCTGGTGGAGCCACAGTTGACACTTGGGAGGTATGGGATAAAGTAGGCTACAAAACTGATTCATATTCAGTATTTTGTGGATCCTACTTGAATATTCTCCTTATAATGGCCCACCTAGAGTCTAATTCGGCGTCCGCCTAATGAGTGTCATCACTATCAGTGAGGCAGTTCTTGCCAGTATCAACACTTTTCTAGTAACGTTCTCTATGGCTCCTCTGTAGCAGGCAAACTACACTTCCTCTCATGTATTGCTTACGCGCATGCCTTTTTAAAGTATATTGTCTTTCATAGTCAATGTGCTTGATTTAGCTGGTAAAAACGCAAGAGATAAAAAAGAAGATGAAAAACCTCTTACCTCGTAATCTAGATCATTTACAAGTTCATTCATTTTTTCTCCAATCTGATCAATTAACCGCTTTTTGCTGCCATTCTGACTGTCTGACAGAAATGCAAACAAATTATCCAGATCCACAGAGTCTCTTTTTGATTCTCTCAGTTTGTTATTTAAGTGTCTTGCAAGGGCAGCAACTTCCTCCCTGTTGAGATAAAATCAGACGAAATTAGGAAATTACAGTAACAACAGGAAATATTCTCTGTCCGAGTAACTGCTCGGGAACTTTCTATCAATGAGGCAGAGTACCGAAAAAATTTGAAATTCACAAGAGAAAGAAAGAGAAATTGCGAGTACTTCCATTGATACTTCCTATCGTCAGAATGAAATCCTCTACATTAATTCTCTGCCTCAGAGCTCAGTTATTCATTGCAAAGAAGTACGACAAGAGCAACTTTCTACTACAGTAATTTTTCTGAAATAAAAAACTGCGAAAATTGCAATAAAGTAAAAAATAAAACTGGAGAAATTTGGCCTGAAAAATCAAAATAGATCAAGAAAGTCAATATTGTGAAAAGTCTCTGAACAACCACAGTATAATCTGAGTCACAGTCATGACTGATTCAGACAAACACTGAAAAGATATTTTGGACATCTTTTGTGACCCGATTAAACTTACTTTTGTTTTTCTTTCCTTTCAGAAATTTCTTCAGGTGTGACTCCATTTTCGCCTTCAGATTTTTCATCACCATCTTCTTCAGGTTCTTCTTCTTTAGCTTGCTCTTTCAGCTTTTCGGCTTCTTCTCTCTTCCTCATCTCATCTTCAACTCTTCTCATTTCTCGCAAAGCACTTGCGACCTAAAATTTTGAGAGCAAGAATGAAAAATTAAGATTGCTATTGAGGTTGCTGTTAAGATTTGCTGTTAATTGATAAAGATTAAAGAGTTTGAATAATTTAAGGAAAATTGCATTTTACGAAGCTACTATCTTTTGAAAAATGAGTTGTGACGGACAATATCCAACAACGCAGAGATCTGCAATTTTGTGGTTGCACTACAGATATATATACATACAAGTCGCTTTTACAGCCTGGGCGCTCTGCAACCCCTAATCGCCATCCTCTTTTATCAATCCATAGGTCATTTGGTAAACTGGACTTAGTAATTCATTACTTAGTAGTTGTACTATCAAAGTGTAATTTTTCTCATGACTAGTGAAATCACAAGAATCTGTTACGGTATAATTTAAAAATATTGATTACCTCACGAGCAAAGACTCCTCGTAAGTGTGCTTGAATTACAATGGCGGCCCGCCTTTGCCGCAAAAATTCTACTCTCTGTTTCCAACCTCGGAATGCATACTGTAATTTCAAAACAGCGGTGCGAATTCTTCTAAACTCTGAAAGAAATTTTGAATTCCATGATTAATTAGAAGGAAGCTGGGGTCCCATAATTTTATAGGCTATGAATTGGATTAAGAATTGATAGAGAATGAAAGATGCACGGTTACATGATGAGATTCCCATCAGTTAGACTGGATAAAATTAACTTATCTCTAATGATTGGCGAGACCGTGTAGACCTCTCAAAAAATCACATGGTTTAAGTCTAAAGAAGCTAAAATTTTAGGAGCCACCTTAGCCAGAAAGCCTTACTTTTTAGGAGCCATATTAAATTTTTGCAAATGCATCATAAGGTGCCGCTACTTAACAACTGAGAGTTAGAAACAATTGACAGGATGCTTCAACTTCAAATTTGTAGGCTCATTTGGTGCAAAATGCCCAGGGAAGGCAGAACATTGGCCACAAGCTAAAATATAGCAATTTATTTAGCATTTCACTTTTATTTTTCAATTATCATTTTTACTGATAACTATTGCGCAAAGGTATATTTCAATGCTAGCATGTGACCTGATGTAAATTGTGCAAGTGGCAGCCTTTCCATAGATGGTTCTTCCATTTTGCCTTGTCTTCGACCATCTAATTAGAGACTGCTCATTGATATTGCTTGCTGCATGGTAGAGGGCCTATGCCACAATAAATTAGCAGCTCCGAACCCAATAATTAGAGATTATGAAACGTTGGATAGGATTTTCATTCTTTAAATAGCAACTTACGAGTAAAAAATAAACTCTACCTTTCCTAACAACGTAACCGCGCCAGTATCGTTGAATGACTAGTGAATTTGCTGCTACTACATTTTTCCAATTTTCTTCCAGAGTTTCAAAAGCAGCAGTCCTGATGAACACTTTGGTTTTTCCAATCTGCCAGTCTTTGTTCGGAAAGTTGAGACCCTTCAAAATTGCTCTGTTAATAAGCAAAAATTAGACATTATCGATTTAATTGAAAACTTAGATTACAAAACCACAAAAATTTCTGAAGGAGAAAAATGTAACAGAATCCGTGAAAAGGGAGCTTATCTTCTTTAAGAAAATGTTCCTTAACTTTTTGAAAATGAATAGAAGAAAAAAATCTGGAGATGGACGCAAAAGTCTAACCCTGAAAGCTCAAAAATTGAGGGAGATTTAAGTTGAAACAAGAAATCTTAGGTTATGGAAAAACGTGGTTGAAGTTTTTGCAAAAAATTAAAGAAATATTCTTCTGGAGGCTAAGGTCTCTTTTCACAGTTCCGACCATAAAATAACAGTAAAACTGAGACATTTTTTGAAGCAAGAAATTTCAAATTATACTTTTAGCAAACTCTCAACTGAGCACTAATGGTGTTTGAGCGATAATCTAAACTAAACTAAAATAACTCTTGTTAAAGACAGAGCTATTATTCTGCGAGAGATATTTGATAATACCTACCGTATGGTTTCATCCACAGTTTTCCGTCGACCATTCCGAGGAGCTAAGCAATAATATTTATTAAAGAAATCTTGGAACCTAAGATGAACAGGGTAACATTGTCTATGGATCATGATGGTGTAAAGCATACCCAAGTACCTCAATTGATCCGAAACCATTACCTCATCATAGTGGTTTGGTTTTTTTATCATATTTGGTTTGATGCACCGTACATACCTAGGCAAAGGTATAAAAATCAACATTATTCAAACGGTAAAAAAGAGGTTTTAAAGGACAGATCATTTATGAGAGGGCCAGCAAATAAATCTCATGTGGAAATAATAAAATAGTATAGGTTACTAAAAACTTACTAAATTTGTGGAATATTGAATGGAAACAAAGCAATGGACCTTTTGACAAGGTGTGAGTTTAAGCATTACGGTACATTTTTTCAATCAAAAGAACTCATCTCTAAGCAAAAAAATAATTTAAAAGAACCAAGATATTAACGTTTTCTGATGCTTTAATCCAAACTTCACTCTTATGAGACAAACAATGATCTACTTGTATCAAATTGTACACTAAAAGTTACTGTAACAGCGTTTATGGTATAAGAAATGGTAACCTCAATCTCAGCGTTTTGGCTCAGCTGTTGCCCATTGATTAATATTGAGACAACACAGGACGGCAAAAGAACATTGCTCAATGAAGAAACCTGCTGAAACTATTTGTCATGCGCGATTTGATCTGTGTAGACTCTGGTTTCTCTTGTGAGAAATTAAAATTTTACTTTACCATAGCTAAATAAAAACCTAATATCTTGCTTCAGAGTTAGGAATATTATTTGCTGCGCAGATCGTTTCCTCCATGAAATTTTGAAGATGAAACATACGTTCATCGAGTGCTTAAATTTGTACACTGTCAAATGGTTCATTAACCTGACTATGTGCTATAAAAGTAATTTGAAGAAATGAAGTTGTTGCAGACAACGAATATGTTTGGGGGGAAATGAGACTAAGCTTTCAATGTGTGAATCTTGACCAAGAAAGAAAAATAATACATAGCATTTTCAATTCTAATAGAGACAATTTTTAATGTTAATAGAGGCAAAAACACAATTGCAAGAGACGAAATCATGAATTCTTCATGGAATTCAAACTCATTTACCCAAAGCTTTTTAGGTGGGTTAAAACCGATGATTTATATGTAAATCTTGGGGCACTTATTGAGATCCATATCAAGAATTTTGATGAGAGCAAGGAATAAATGTGAAAGAATTGGACAAGATTAGAAAAAATACTCTTTGATTCCATATCCAACCAGGTACTGACATTATTGAAAATTGGTAAATCGTCATGACAGCAAATTAAGCAAAAGAAAAAACAACAAATACATTGCTACAATTGGCAAAGTGAAGTGTTGAATTACTTTTTTGGACAGTAATGCCTGAGCATTGAGTATGTTGATTTAGAGTAAGAAGAGCTTGGAGAATAAATATTTACCATGGATTAGTAGCTTGCAGGACTTCTACAAGCGCTTGTAATTGATGTCTAAATGTATCCGAGACAGTCGGTTTCCCTTTACTTGTTCCTCTAGAGGCTAGAGTGCCTAAAGCCGTGCATGAATTTGAACTATTTACAGCGTTAATTTTTGATACAGTTGCTCCTAATAAATCCTACAAGTAGAATAACGACCGAAGTTAGTAGAGCCAATTACAGATTAACATAGTAAGACTGAATTAGAGTAACAGTTACATCTAGAGATATCAGATGAAATTAAATCCATCGAACAGTGGAAAAAAATCACAGCTTTCTCAAGCTGAAACTGCTCATGAGAAAAAGAGTTAAATAAAAAAATAAACGCTATCCCATTTTTTTATACTCAAAAGAAAGAAGACATTATTTTCTCCTCATTTTTTTCCTGATTCAAAGGATAAATTTGAAGCTTGTAGAATATATTGCACAGAGAAACTTTGAGAGATGAATGGCAATAAATCATATTCAAACAAGGATTTACATAATATCACTGTGAGAAAAATACACGAAAGCATACTATACCTGATAAATATACAACTGTTGAACTAATGAATTTGAGCTACGACTAATAAAATCAAAGAAGACATCTTGCTGAACATCCCGATTTTTATCAACAAAACCGGCAACAGAATATATCACAGTCCCAGCGTAATGATTCACGCCAAATTCCAATTCCCATCTCCTCCGATCATCACCTTTGATATAATACGGATGAGATTCAAATTCACTATGAAGATTAACTAGATAAGCCGAGTCAGAGCCCTGTTGAATAAAAAATACATCATGTCATATCATAACATAAATATACATAAATCCTTGATCTGCGCTTACAATTTGAAATTTGATTCTACAGTTCACTTACTTTGGAAGTGTTCATAAATTACACAATTTTTCGCAGATATGCTATGCAATTTTTCGATATTTTTTACCTTTGCCCCCTTGTAACTCTGTTGTGGCGTAGATCTCTACCCTTTAACGAGTAAAAACAAAATGGCGTGATGCTCTCCTAGACCTTGATCCGTCCCTAGAATGTTACACAATTCATGAACGCCTTTTTTACAGTCATCTTGTATATTATTTTCTAATTTTTGTTCCTTATCAAAATTTTCTTAATTATTAGTCATTGATTGGGGTTTAATATACATTATTTTAAAAAAAAAAAATTTGGAGCAAAAAAGCCTGTTTAACAAAAGAAAGCACTGTTTGCAAAAGGAAGGAATTTAGGTTCATAAATCTTCATTCGCACTTCCAACCTGTGAATTAGTGTAGTTGATTTTGCATTGATATTTAATTTCAAGTTTTTAGTGGATTAATGTAAATAGAAAAAATTAAATCAAGTGCTTCTTACGAACCTTTGGCATGTGACACTGCTCAGTCAGCAATTTAAAGATGCACCGAGGAGGCTTCTCAATGAGTTCTAGACATTCAGTATTATCCGTGAACTCTATATGAGAGTACTCGATCCCTTCCTCTCGGTACTGCACGAAGACAAAATTAAAAATTAAACGCTGAAGATATTATGGAAAGGTAAAGGAAGAGACTTAAAAATTTACAGAAAAACTGAAATTTGACAACTGAATTTTTCCTTTTAGTCACTTTTGTCTCTCACAATGATAATTCGTTTAATGTTCACATACCATGCTAATACTTTTTTCTTTTGTTTTCAACAAGAGTGTGCTAAAACAAATTATGGGGGAATCTCAATAAGTGCGAGTTTTTATCTGATCCAAAATACTGGAGGTGGAGTAGTGGAAGCTGCAATTTCACTTTTTAACTAATCTTTGAAAAGGAAATCATTATCCACAAATATAATACTGGATTTTTTTTTGTTTTGTTTAAAAAAAGAGAGAGACAACTAAGGTAGGTGTTCAAATAGTGTAGGCAAGCATTTCTTACTAGATAGCCTCACCATTATTACACAAAGTGAATTCCATGCTTAAGAAAATTTCAACCTAGCTGATCATCATAATATACATCCAAAAGATGAAGAGCAAATTATGAAGAGCACCGTGCAAAAAAATTTTGCACAATAAGTGATTTGTGATCCCTAACTTCATATGCTACCAGGGTTCACATAATTTCTGCATTTACTAATTCCCTACTTTTTCCTAACTTTTTTTGCTGCTCCTAGACTCTAAAATTTCCTGATTCCCTGGCTTTCTCTCATTTTCCCTGACCTTCAAACAAAACTCCCAGGTCTCTTTCAATTACGCTGCCTTTCGCCAAATTTTGAATGAAATTTCCACTTTGAAAGATTCAAATAATAGAAAAAGGTACTTAAAATTTGCCACTATTTTCTTGAACAGCACTGGCTGAAATTGTTGAGGCAATAACATACTACTTGCAAAATTCCTCGATTTCTCCTATAAACTTCCCCAATCCTCCCTAACGTTTCCGGGTTGTCGTACATTCAGTGCAAAGCTACATTATAATATAGAATAAGAATGACATTTGAAAAAAGTTATACTCACAGTTTGCTGTTCTAAGGCAAAAACATAGTTATTGAAGAATTTTTGCAATTTTTCATTAGTGTAGTTAATGCACAATTGTTCGAAAGAATTCACAGCAAAGTTTTCAAATCCAAAAATATCCAAAACTCCTAGAAACCTTGTTGAGTCTTGTCCTGGATTTGTACATGTATTAATGTGGTTAACTAACCACGCAAAAACCCTTGAATACAGAGCTTTCGCCATTGCATGGCGATTTTCTTTGGCCTAGAAAAAGAAAACATTATCTCTTAAAATATGTGAAAAATTTAAATACTCAGAAAGTACCGCTAAAGTCCATGAAAATCATCTTTTTCTCTCGTTTTTAATTTAAATTTGTCAGTGCGCACATTTTTTTGTGGGAAACAGTAAAAAATAGTTCATACTACAATAGTGTCAAGTTTTAAATGATGACAAAAAATTATTACATTAATTATTTTAACCTTTCTTTTACTTAAAATTACTTCAAATCTCTTTGTTGTAAAGTTTGGAAATATTATAAAATCAATTTTTAAATAGACTAATTATTGTAATTACATACAACCAGATAAACAAGCTACTAATGGCAAATTGGTACCCGTGACTCTTTTTGTTGTAAATAGATAAAACATATTAATGTACCTCTTGAAATTTGAGCGGGATTTCTGTTACACAGCCTCTCACATTGATTTGCCGCAGTAAAACGACTTGAGCTAGGTCATCAACTTGAAGACCTAATAACTCTGCAACTGTCTTTAAAATCTGATGATCCTCTTCAGTTAACTGACACCGCTCGCCATCAATGTCCTGAACAGCACAGAAAAAAAAATAATGATTTCATCAGAGAATGTTGGATTTAAAAACACTAAAGTAAGTCACCTGAACGCTAAAAAATACGAGTACTACTTATATTGTATTCAAACAAAAGTAAATAAAAATTTAAAAAATATTATTCCACAATCTACCTATTGGAAATATTCAATGATTTTTATCTTGGCATCATATAGGGACAATTTTTCTTACTTACAGTAGTATTTCGTTTCATCTTTATTTCTTAAAATTTGCCTCTTGGCTGATAAAAAACCATGAAAACTCATGAATTGCTAGCAATATTGGGAGCATCTAACTTCGATCAATGCTTTAGACAGCAAAAAATCATGAGAAAATACTGCAATCAGTTTAATGCAGTGTTTATTAAGGGAAGACCTGATTCAGAATTAGATAATAATCTGACATAAAACTTAATTGGTTGAAGATTTCTTCTGTTCTGATTTGCAACATTTTTACAAACCTGAAAAGTAAGGTTCCCAAGCCACAAGATTGCAGAGAGTGTGCTAAAAATGCCTTCAACCATGTGTAATGGAATCCGAAGCACATTGAATGCAAGGCACAAGGTATCATACTTAAGTGCATCATTTATCCCCTCTATACTGATGCAGTCACTCTGATTCAGGTAAGCAAAAAATTCAGCTGGCTTCAGCTTGTATTGTTCAGCAATTTCTTTATTGATCTGCAAACAAAACATTCCATGACAAGAACTGAAGTATAATGTGTAGCAGGTTTCCAGACAGTGTGTACCAGTTTGCAAGAATGCAAAAAGTTTAAAGCCTTCCCATTAGAAACTCCTCTTCCTCCAAAACTTTTTAATGCCTTGTATCCACAGGACGTTTCACGAGATTTGTCCCAAGTTGTAGTCGCAGTAATGAAACTTCTGAGCTTTTTTCCCGTTAAACAACACGACAAAGTTCCTTCTTCTTCTTTTTAAATCGTTCCTGAGACTCCACAAGGACTCTTAGTTGGTATTGTGATTAGTATTGACTAACTTTTTTTTTCCAACTTCGCAAGTGAGATTTTTTCTTGGGACAAATCCCATGATACGTCCCTTGGAGACAAGGTCTAAGCTGTGACTTTTTTCTGACCTTCAATCAAAAATCGCCATAATTTTGAAAAATACACGCAACTCCACAAAAAACACGCAAATTGTTCGATGATTTCCATAGACGCACGCCCTTTAAATGCTATAACGTGCTCTTTTTCCCATTTTTACAGCCTCTCCATAATTCAAGCAAGCAGCCACACGATCATGCTTGCATGGTTAGGAAGTTTCTACACCTCTGCTTAGGGAAAACTTCACATCTAACATATTTATACGACTACAAAATAAACATGAAATATGCTTTGATTAATTCATTTTTAAGTCAGTGCTTGAATCAAATCTATTATTATTGTAAGATAAAATCAATTGAAAATTGCTAAGGACAATCCTTTTGAGAGATTTTTTGCCAAATATTAATCACCTATGAGATACGCATTTTGCTACTATTTCTTCCTCATAAAAAGCCTTCATGAATTGAACACATTTTGGTGAAATCAAAGCCAAAAGCTTGACGCCTTTACTTCATAATTTTAATTTTTCACGGCTGTAATTTGTTACGTCATGAATTTATTTGATATAGTTATAAGTGCATTTTTCAAATTTTTTCTTATTCCTCTGACACAGTTGTGCGAGAATAAAAGGAAGATGGGCGAAAAGGAATCCTCTTACCTTGGCAGCACTAACAAGCTGATAAAACACATGATAATTCCTTTCCCCATTGCTCTGGAAAGTAATTCTTGACTGCTCCAGAAGATAATCTTGAATAATGCAGCCTTTGATCATCCATTTCTTGTCCAGGCAAACTTGCATGAACTTTCCAAATCTACTTGAGTTGTCATTTCGTACGGTTTTTGCATTTCCTGAAAAGAAATTGTTTTGAAAAGATAAGAAACAAAAATAATGATTAGACACAAAAAGGTTAAATTAGTATATGAACAGAGGCTTGCAAAATCAAACCCACCTCCACTTGATGATATTTCAAAATAATTCTCAAAGTGACATGATTTTGATGAGATCAAAAGAAGTTCAGCACAAAATTAATCTATCAATTCAGGAACCTACTTGTATTGGGTCTAATATCCCAATAAATTCTAAAGAGTCATAATTGTGTCTTTTAAATTCTTTTCTACCAAATCAACTTATCAATAAAATCATTTTCAACTTCCTGGTCACTCTAAACCATAATAGGTTTTGCTGAGTTGTAAGTCATTAAACCATTATAGGTTTTGCTGAGTTGTAAGTCATTGCTCTAATGTGTATTTAAGGAAGATGTCGAGAGAGAAAAAATTGGGAGTTTTTTGATCAGTTGACATTGTGAAATATCAGAGCAAAAGAAAAACAAAGAAAATATCTTGAAGTTTTCTCTAGATCCTGGGAATTCCGATTGTTCTTATTCCGATTAAAAATTTGACAGAATGCAGAGCAATTCGTGAGGGGTACCTAAGAAGTTTATCAAATTACCTGAAATTAATTTTCTCACAAAAATTTCCAGGATTCTCTTCAGAATAAAGGCAAAGGTAGGGAATTTTTGTAGGGTACACAATACTAATTCATTCGCAAAATTTCATGAAAAAACCAAAAAAATATTAAAAAATTCAAAAGAGCATTTCTAAGGTTAGAAAAAACTAATTAAAATCCGATCGATCAAAAGTGGATGGTCGACTTGAGGTAGCAAGACGACGCCTTAGGCTGACAATGAGTTTAGCAAATCAGCAAACGCCATTTCCTCGCCTGGCTACATCATCAAAGCCAGCCAAAAATATTGTTTTGAGCGGGCCCCATTTTTGGAATTTTCAAAATGAGTTTCCATTGCCATTGAGGGTCCAAGAAAAAATCTAAAATATTCATAGAAGCTAAGTTTACTCCGGACTCCAAAAAATTCATTTCAAGGTAGCCGTAATTTCATGACGTTCAAATTCCTTTTCCTGACTATTTTTGCTTTTCCTTAACTCCAAAATTTTCGGATTCTCTGACATTCTAATAAATCTTCCACTTTGATTTCTTCCCCTTTAAATACACTCAATTGGACGGATTTCTATCAAACAGAACTATAAGCATTGAGACATGAGCCATGAGACCCATACGAATACATGCATAACAGGGCTCACGTCAAAATGCACATAGTTCCTTTTGACAGAAATACATCCAATCAGCTCAACGCACCTCGCAAAATTCCCTGACATTTCTCGGTCGCCGCAAATTTTCTGACTTTCCCTGACCTCCCCGATTTTCCAGATCGCCGCGCCGAACAGTGGATCGAATTAATAGGAGAGACCGGATAAAATTCGGAAACTTCAAACGCTTATTACAACTCCGTTTATACAAAACTTTGAGCTTCTAAAAGTGGTTCCATTGGTTTCCTCGTGAAATTTGTTGCTACGAGTACTCTTTGAAATTTAAAATGTGACGAAATAAACATCAAAATTTACAGTTCTAGTCGAAAATTCCATGCCCGATCCCTCTAATTGACTCGATCCACTATGCGCCAGCGCCGGCAAGCCTGCAGTTTAAAAGGAGACCCATTCTTTTGAGCTTTCGAAGGGACCCAATGGAGATGTTGCATGTGTGAGGGATTTGCGATTTGACTGCTGTTTCTTATGCAAAAGTTCGCGAGAAACACGATGGTGCCACTGGTTTTCTCTGAAATCAACTCCCAAGCGCAAAAAAACCTCTCAAAGTGAGGCCAAAATGGAGGGGATATCCCGACCTACCCTGAGAGTCCACCTCTACATCAAAACAAACTCTCCATGCGCAGATAGGGAGCAAATACATTAGCAGGGTTGCCGTGTTTTCAGTCTTGGAGTCCCCAAATGAAGTGGCAGCCCTGTCAATGTATTAGCTCCCTATCTTTGCATGGAGAGTCTATCTTGATGTAGAGGTGGACTCTCAGGGTAGGGTGGGATATCCCCTCCATTTTGGCCTCACTTTGAGAGCTTTTTTTGAGCTTGGGAGATGATTTCAGAAAAAACCAGTGGCACCATCGTGTTTCTCGCGAACTTTTACTAAAGAATCAATGGTCAAATCGCAAATCCCTCACACATGCAACATCTCCATTTAAAAGGAGACCCATTCTTTCGAGCTTTCGAAGAGACCCAATTTGAGAGGAAAACGGTCATTACCGAAGGCTTCCATGACAGTGTTAGCCTCGAGAATTTGATGCTCGACCCAAGTAGAGACAGTGCTGGTGACGCTGCACAGGTACTGCAAGATGAATTTGGTGGTTTCGGTCTTGCCGGCTCCGCTCTCGCCCGAGATGACGCAGGATTGGTTGTGATCCGTCGCCTGCAATGAGGTGTAAGCCGCTTCTGCCAGAGCGAAGACGTGCGGCTCCAGCATCCCCAACTTGGCGCCATGGTATTGCCAAATGTGATCCTGGAACAGGGACCAAGGCAAATTGTATAGGAATTCAACGGTTATTAAGGTTATAATTCTATTTAATTTATTAATTTAGTGAAAGTTAAGTTCATTAAATTGCTGGATTTCGATTAAATGGATGAAAAACAGTGTTGCCGATTTTCAAGAATCACCGCTGGGTCCACTACAACCCCATGGAGGAAAAAAAAGGAGGTGTTTGCACAGAGTTAAGAAATTTTGTGAAAGATTATAAGAAGAAATTTCATGAGAAAATTTCGAGAAATTTCACGGGGAAAAAAGAAATCTCATGAAATTTCTTGTGAAATTTCACGAAATTTCATTCGATGAAATTTCTTTTAGCAACTCCGTGTTTGCATCTTGAGGTTTGTTTACCCTGCGACGTAGGTCGGTACAACCTGGCCAGCGAAATCCGGAATTCGAAATATGAAAAACGGACCATGATGTCCGATTTTTTTACGTACATCAACTCATGATATAATTTCAAGCACTTTCTAAAGAATGACTTTTTTCCCCTTAAATTACACCATTTCCAAGAAAGTCGATGATAAACGTCGCTGTACCGACCTGCGTCATCAAAAAAATTCCAAGATGCCCGAAATGCAAAAACCTTCTTTTTTTCTCTATGGAGGATCTAGTGATCTGTGCTCTAGTTTGAGCAATGCTAATGCTGCCCTCTTCAAATGACAGGAAACAGTGGCGTGGCGTGAATTGCGATGTATCAATAATTGTTTTGCCATTTAAACGTATGGTAAAGAATCGATTATTAAGGTGTTCGCTGCGAACACCCTGTTTATCGATCCTTTTCCATAGAATTGAATGGCATAACAATCGATATATCGCAACTTACGCCACGCCACTGACAGGAAAATGCGCGACGGGCGGCGGGTTTGATTACAGATTCGGTTGAGTGATTAACAATGATACGGGTGTAAGTATTCTAAAATACCGATCAAAATACCAACTTCCGACAGTAATGAGTAGGCGTTTGCTTTGTGTTCATTGCCTATGGTGAACAGCAAACCAAACAGAAATCAGTGTAAATGGGATGCATGGTTCATCGCTAGAGCTTGCCACACGATTAGAATACGAATGCATTTTCATTATGATGATGAGTGACTATTCTGCGAGCATCATATTCATTTAGGGCAGGAAATATTGATTTAGTTTGGAATAACGTTCGTCCAAAACTCAGGGGAGGTTTTGTGACGGGTTCAAACTGCTCAGTAGATGATTTAGTACCAAACGAAGTACGATTTTAACATTTTCTACTTGATGGATTTTCAAAACCAATCATTAGTCACACATTTCATTTTTTATGGGAAATTAACTGGGAATGAGAGGAACTTGGTATTTGAATTCAACGTCAAAGATAGACGAATAGATCGTTTTTGATACATCAAATCAGGGTCGGACTGGCTCGCATCTGAGGGCGTAGACCCTTGGCTGGTTAAAGGGGCGTAATGTGATATTTCCTGATGGGGCATCCCCTTCGTGGAAAGGGGTTCAGAGAATTTTGGCAAAGCAGCACAAGTTTACGCTATTTTTAGGTTCGAAGTTTATTAATCGTACAGAGTAAAAATTGTAAAACTGAACGTATTGAAGTGACCGACAGACTTCTGAAATTAAAGAAAACAAAAAAAATTAAAGCCACTGGACGCATCCAAGCACCATTATTTCCACAAGAACCGTGTCAGTGCTGCGGTTTACATGAGCTTAAGACGTGGGTCTAAAAATCCATCCTAAAAAAAAAAAAAAGAATCAGGCAAGAACCTGAAAAAAGAAGAAAGAACGAGTATCAACACAGCCGACGACAAGAAAGACGTATTCGGGCCTCTTTTTTTAACTTTTTTCCCGAATCTGAGCGACACCTCATTAGCAGCATATAGCAGGAACTCACGCTTCGCGTCATCGCGCCTTCAGTTTTTCAGATGCAGCACGGACGTCCATCAAGTACGAATAGTTGTATCTCTGCGCCGTCGTAAACATGCATCCTTTCCCTCTCTTTATTTCCATATTGTGTTTGTTTGCGTTCGTCTTGTTCGTAATGGTCCTTCAAGCACTACGTGAATAACACAGCCGAAGGTAGGAGAGATGTGCTCGGGCCTCTTTTCAAACTTTTCTCCCGAATCTGAGCGACACCTCATTGGCAGCATATAGCAGAGCATTGAGAACTCACGCTTCGCGTCATCGTGCCTTCAATTTTTCAGATGCAGCACGGACGTCCATCAAGTACGAATAGTTGTATCTCTGCGCCGTCGTTAACGCGCATCCTTTCCCTCGCTCTATTTCCATGTTTGTTTCCGTTTGTCTTATTTTGTAATGTTGCTTTAAACTAGAGCAGGGCATTGCGAGTTCACGACTCACGCCATCGCGTCTTACATTTTCCATATGCAATGTGGACATCCATCTTGCGAGAATAGTTGTATCGCGTTTACACTTTAGAAGTCTCTAAGAGACTTCGAAGGAATCACGAACTCAGAGTTACCTAAATTTTACGCTAAATAGAATTTACTTCTCGTTACTACTCGATTTTTTTCAAGAAATTAAGACGCTTGTATCCCGGAAAAAAATACGAAGCACTGTTGATTAAACTGTGTTGATTAATTTTTACACATTTTTACATTTTGCGAACATGAAAAGGAACCGGTATCTTTCAATATCTTTCATAAATTTCTGAAATTTCAAGACTTTATTTTTCATGAAATTATGCCACCCTGAATACAGCCATGCGGTAAGGAATCACGAACTCAGAGTTACCTAAATTTTACACTCAATTGAATTTACTTCTCGTTACTCCTCGATTTTTTTCAAGAAAGTAAGACGCTCGTATCCTGGAAAAAATTACGAAGCACTGTTGATTCAACTGTGTTGACTGATTAGTAAACAGCAGTACATCCGTCCGACATCCTCAGTGCATTTTATTAAGAAGAGACAAAGATAAGTAAAAAACTTTGCCGGGCGGGGAGATAAATGGACGGATTTATGCTAAATGGAACTATGTGCAAGTGGAAAGATGGGTGTGCTCGTTAGTGCTCGGGCCATAAGAATGAATCGGAAATATAAAGCGCCAGTGACGTCAGCGGCAACGACGGGAACGACGACGATCGGGAAGGCGGTCCTCAACCCATGAGCCCTGTCCACAAGGTTCTAGATACATGTTCACGGCTCACGAGTTAGCGCTCAGTTCCTTTTCATTCAATTGAAAATCCTACTTTTCCATTTTCTCAAAAGGAACTGTATCCACTTTTACGTACATTGTTTCTTATCCATCTTCCACGAGCACACCCCATCTTTCCACTTGCACATAGCTCCTTTTAGCATAAAAACGTCCAAATTGCGTTTATTTCCGGTAGGATTCTAGGTGGCGGTAGCCACCCCGGACCAATCCTAAAAAACTCCCCCTTAAAAGTTGCCCACCGAAGAGAAAAAAAGGGGGAAAAGGGGGGAAAAGATGATACAAAAAAGCAGTGATGTCACAGAGACACGAGGACAGGCAGGAGCTACGGCGCACAGTGGACCGAGTCAATAGGAGAGGTCGGACATAAATTTGAAACTTTAATCGCTTAAAACACCGTTAATACGAAACTTTGAGGTTCTGAAAGTGGTATCATTGGTTTCATCGTGAAATTGTCTTTTAAAGGACCCCTCAAAATTTAAAATGTGACAGAATAAAGATCAAAATTTGCGGTTTTGATCAAAAAATGTATGTCCGACCTCTCTAATTGACTCGATCTACTGTGCGGCGGCTTATATACACTTCTGGCGAGTCGAGTGGCAACGCTAGGGGTTGTTAGGATTTCGTGTGGGTGCAGGCGCGTGGATGAGATGAGGGGTCGCGTTTTGATCTCGACCCCCGAAGTTGGTCAAAATGACGGATTAGAAGGGGAAACTAAACGGCGAACACTCGACAGCGGCGCGACGGCCCTCGAATTTCATGCGAAAAAGGTCGGAATCCTCGCCATTCGCAACTATTTCGTGAAGGGAACGGATGAGGATGAGACTACCCCTTTGAGCGAGCCACTTGGCTGGGTAGGTGACGGTGACAGGAAGTGATGAGGGACGGCATACGGCTGTCACGCACGAGGACCGCGTTGCCGCTTAGTGCCTCCTTCAACTGCCATGCTGAGGAAAAAACGCCGTATCAACATTCGAGAGTTGCCAAATTTCCTCTGAAGCAGGGCCGGATTAAGGGGGTGGCCACATGGGCCGCGGCCCATGGCGGCAAATCTATAAGGGGCGGCAAATTTTGCAATTTTTTTAAATGTAGGTAATAAAAAAATCGGATTTAGAAAAAAAAATTACAAACGAGAGAAGGCGACAAAATCTCTCATTTCCTGAGAGTATAATAATTTCTAATTTTGTCGTCTTTCAGAGATACAGGAGACAGCACGTTTAATTATTCAAGTTAAGAGAGAAACCAAATAGTTAAAACACGCAATTTGGCCCGGAACGGCGCGACTTACAATTAGAGAGAAATGATGATGAGGACTTGAGATGAAAAGGAGAAAGCCCTCGGCGCGGCGATCGGCATGTAACACATATTAGCGCCTACAAGACTGCACGAATACTTCACGCATTGCGTCAAACACAGTGCGTTCAGCAGCGGTCGACGTGAAACTCACAGCGCCTGCAAGACTGCGTGAATACTTCACGCATTGCGCCAGACACGGTGCGGTCAGTGCGGTGCGGCGGCGGAAGTTAAAATCATTAATCCACATTTATGTTTGTTCTTTCATAATTGTTTCGTTCATTTCTTATGAATGGAAGGCCTTGTCCACACAGAGATAGGTTTACGAAACTTAACTTTCGCACAAAGTTCCGAGAACCTTGTTTTCTCTCAAAAATTGTAAAAATTGGCAGTAGAATCTGTGTTCCAAAATACCATAGACCTACAGCCGGGTGTAAGATTTCCAATAGCTTCTATAGCCGGCTACACACTTTCTTATAGCCTTTTCTAGCCGATGGCGATTAAGCAACAGCCAGGCGATAAAGTGTAT